CAACCCCTCTCAGGAAATCAGCGCCCTGACCTCCTAACATATCTCATGAACCTGTCTTTTGTACTGCGCCTGCCACAGAAAATGCATCTTTGCAGATCCTCCTCAAATGCCCCACGCCTGCCATGGTTTTTGGAAATGCGACAAAACCCTCACGTTTTGCTCACTTTTGACAAGTTGCACAATCCCTTGCGGCTGCCACGCGAAACGACATCTGAACCTCTTCGACATCTCAACTTCCAAAAGTGGTCCGACGCTGGTGTGTTTTGTACATTTTGACTTCGAAATGTGCTTCGCGCCACAACGACGTGCACTTTTTCGACATCGCAACTTCCAAAAGTGGTCCGAACGTGAGGTTTTTCTAGCTTTTTCACTTACAAAGGTGCTTGGCGCCACAACGGCGTGCAATTTTTCATCTCTCATCTGGCCAGATGGCTCCGCACCCGCCGCTTTAGCGAGCCTACTTTTCGACCCTCCGGAGCCACAAGTCATTGGAAAAACACTGTGTTTGGCGACTTTCCTACCTTTTCGCGCATCTGCATCTTCTTTCTTCTGACTCTTTCTCTTCTCTGATCTGCTCTCTTCTACTCTTCTCTTCTCCCTGCCTCTGCCCAGCTCTGCTTTTCATCTGTCCATATTGTCGGAAGTTTGACTTCTAAACTTCCTTCGATCATATCCTATCTTATCTGCCTTTTCTAGCTTGATTATCTCACCTGTCTGATTGCACACATATGATGAAGACAAAACACACACACTCTATCTCTCTCTCTCTATCTCTCTTCTCTAATGTAAATGCAAAGGGCCACTCATAATGGATATGCGTGTATGTAAAAAAATGACCGCTGTAATGTGATGAAAAACAAAACAGGCAAAAACTATCAATGTTCACAAGAGCGGACATGCCTCTGCATCACGTGCCCAGCAAAACACCATGTTGGGGGGTTGTATCCAGGCTCGGGCCCAAGTAATGGAAACATCCCCAGGCAATTGGGCAACATCCAGAATCTGTTGTGGATTAGCTCTACTGGGCGCTTCGTTGGATCTTCAAGATAGGCAGCAACCTTCATGAAATCGGGCCGTTGGCCACCTGACGATCAACCAATACCTACAGATGTAAAAAGTAGATAGGTTCAATATAGACATGGTATATCAAGGCAAGGTATGAATCTTTGAAACCTCCTCAGCTGTAGGAATTTCCAACTCTGTCAGGCCTCTCTGCGGTTGAAATCTCTGCGCCAAGCCCGTGCCCTGGTTGTTCAGGAACGCGCGCACCGTCTTCCAGGAGGCCTGGCCCAAAATGAGGGCTTTTGATGTTGAGCAGCAAACAACTTCAATCAAGAACAAGCACAAGGATACATCAGGCTGGGCTTTACTGCGTTGCACTATGTTGCACGCAGTTTTGTGTAAAACCAGACGGATCTCAACTACTGAATCAGGAGAAAGCAACCGACAAGCCGCTAACATCCAAGTGTTTTGGCCGCGCCCGATTCCCAATCGCATTGCCTATTTTCTTGGCTTTAAGAGGCGGAGACTTGAAAAGGAGATGCGTTGGGACAACAAGGAGATGCAAGGACGCGTACCTCTGCAGGCTTCGACAGGACCATAGCACCAGGGAGCTCTGCCAGAACGTGGATTCGATGTTGCATCACCTTTGCCGGAAGGTGAAGCCACAGTCTGGGGCAACGGGATGCTGCAGAAATACACCAGGCTACATTGAGCCACCATCCCTCTACGGACTGCTTCCTAGGGACTGCTGTTCTGAGTCAAAGAAAATCACAGCACCACCTGATGATGTCACCGTACCGTCATTCAGAAAGCTGAGACACTGACAGATTTGTGCTGTCAATTCATTCCCTGCTTTGGCAATGCTGCGCTGGGGCTATCCATGACCACTGGTTGGCATGCCGAAAAAAGCTAACGCCAGCAAAGCTTTCAATGATCCTGTGACTTTGCTATATGCTGCTGTGTTTATGTTGAGCGTGGCAGCCTTGCTGCGGTACCTTTTGAAAGCTTCTGCTACAAATTGTTTTGATGTCGGGCTTGATTTTGGACAGGCTTTGCAGCAGACTTCCGACATTTCATACAGCTCCACCTGGTTTCACTGCTTCGTCTCATGCTGCTGTGGATAAGTTCACAGCTTTTGGGCAAGTTTGGCGTCGATACTTTCTCAATACTAAAGGCTCTGTCAAACCGTGGCAGTGAGAGACCGATGCACTTGGCAATGTGCACAACACATCCCTGTGCTGTGGTTTCCACCATTCCTAGACGCATGGCTGCAGCTGGCTGCACTACACAAAAAAGATGGAACAAACTTGGGTACCATTAGCGAGTGCGAACGCTCACAAGCAGGAAAGCGCATCTCTTTTACCATCTCCTCCATGCGTTTTGATGCCAGCCATTTTGATGCCAGCTGTAATCGTCTGAAGGCCTTCGCGCCGGCAACGGCACGAGAGAGGAATTGCTGATGCAACTGTGCCTTTCTTGGCTATTTTTTGTTTATTTGAGCTGGATGATTTGGGGGATACAGATTGACATGTGGGTGTATATACCATGATGTACCCAAGGATATGCAAATGCCGGTGAACTCTTGCTGGAACTGCCAGGCCGTCATTCACCTGAGGTGCCCTGCTGCCACTGCGGCTGCTTTGGCCGTTTCGGTGGTGGTTCCTGCTGCGCCGTGCTTGGCGATGTGTGGCGCTTCGAGTAGGTCGGTGGTATGATATCTTAAGGGCGTGGGAGCTAAGGCAGCTATGGCCAAGCCAAAACATGAAACCAGCCACAAAACAAATTCCCAACAGAGAATCTGTTGGGTTTCAATCAATCTCTGGGGCCGGGGAGTGGTGACAGGAAAATTCACGCCCCGAAAAACCGGAACAGTCCTGGAACCCTGCTGGAACCTTGCGGAAATCGTGCTGGAACCTTCCTGGAACCGTGCTGGAGCCTGACACCTTGCTGGAACCCCGCTGGAACCTTGCTGAGATCTCGCTGGAACCTTGCTACGACATTCCTGCAACTCTGCTGGAACCTGCTGAAACCTTGCTGGAGCCCTCTTGCTGGAACTCCTGGCCGGAACATCTTGCTGGGAACCATTGCAGGTGTGGATTTCGTTTTTCTTTTTAGATTGTTTCTTGCTTTGCTTAATGTGCCGGGTTGTGATGTGGGAAGTCTGGCTTGAACTTGGCTGGAGCCGTTTTGCCACTTTGCTGGAACCTATATGAAGACAATTTCTGGGTTTTCTTTGGGTTTTGTTTTGTTTCTTTCTTTTCCCCCAAACAGTGTGCCCACACTGAGGGGTTCTTACAGTAGGAGCACAGGCCTGTGCTTGATCAGGGTGCTCACTCTGGGCCCGAGCATTTTTCTTGTAATTTCCGTATAAAATTGCTCTTGTGAGATCACCAAATGCATTTCGACTGCGCTGGCTCGCACAAAGTGTGTGTCTGCGTTCTGGGCTCAATCTGGGCCGCGCCATTTTTCCTGTAAATTTCCGTATAAAGCGGCTCTTGTGACATGTTGACTTGCATTTCGACTGCGCAGTCTCGCGCAAAGTGTGTGCCTATAGGTTGTCGGCCGCAGTTGCTCTTGTGAAATGTTGACTTGCATTTCGACCGCTCAGGCTCGCACAAAGTGTGCGCCTAGGTTCTGGGCCCCGGCATTTTTCCTGTACATTTCCGAATAGAATGGCTCTTGTGTAATTTCTGCATCAGCTTGATTTGAAGCCAAAGAACAAATATGACAAATTCAAGCCTCACTGGAAGTTTGGCTTTCGGGTGCTGTGGTTGCAACAACTGCTGTGGCTTTCTGACTTTGGTTTGCCACAGGCACTGCTGCATGGCTGCCTGCTGGTCTCTGGACATATGTGATCTGGGGCTCCTCTGGTGCAAATCTGTCCAGCAGCTGGCTAAGCAAGCCAAAGACTTTGGCTTCTCCATTGGTGGCAGGGAAGGGCTGTGCAGCATGGTTGCTTGGCTTCCCTGCAGAAGTTTGTTTCCTTTTCTGCAAATCACCTTGGCTCACCAAACTGGAGCTTGTGGCCAAACAGTGTCAAAACTAGAAATTTAATGCAATCAAGTCACCATGCTCTTCCAGCCACCAGCAATGGACACCAGAGATGTTCTTTGTTTGATCCACAAAGGGCAACAACCACAGCCATCCCCACAAACCAGGTATGCCTTGGTGGAAGAGTTGCTGGCTTCCACCTTGGTAGCTTCCTTCAGGGAAACAAACCCCATGGATCTCAGCCTGGAGGCAGTAATGGACATGGTATGCACTGTGTTGGCTCGTGCTTGGCCCATCCTGGCCCAATCCTCTTTGGACACATAGTGGCTAAAGCCTTCAATGTGCTGGCCTGCAATGACTGTCTTCAAGTGGCCAGGGCCAGCCAAGTCTATTTGGTCAATGGCATCTTGGATTGTTTTCTTCAAATCATTGGGCAAGCTGGTTTGGTCAAGCTTCTCCAGGATTTGGATGATGGTGGTGCTTGTCCATTCCTTGGATGCTTGCAACTTGGCACACAAGGATGTGGCCAATGTCTGCACCAGCTTGCTTTCTGGATGGCTATGGGCAAGCTTTTCCAAATGGCCTAGCTCCTGGACAAAATCTTCAGCTTTCCAAAGTTGAGTCATCCCTGGCTCTCAGAAGCACTGGTAAACTTGGGCTGCTGGCTGGTGCTTAAACTGTAAGAAAAAACATGCAGGGACTAGGGTGGCCTGTAGAAACAGTGTGCATGTGACCCATGAAGAAATTGTGCTGAATTCTGACACTGGTTGTAGTTGCAAGGTATTCTTAGGAGAATTTAATGCCATAAGGTTGGCACATGCAACTTGGGAATGATACCAACAAACCAAAGAGGGGACCAATCTTATTTATGGTGCATGTGCTGGCATGCTATATGAGAAAGCAGCAATGCTGATGGTATCCTGGACTGGCCTGCAGCTATTCAAAGAAGCAACCATGGCAAACAACTGGATGACGTTACCCTAGGAAATGCCATGCGTGGCTGATTGTGAAATGCCATCAATGGCAGAGTAGCATCAAACTTGGTCACTTGCTTGAATTGTAACATGGCCAGGGTTGGAAATGCCATTGCGGGCTGACAGCATGTAATGCCATGGAAGGCTTCAGGTGGCTGACACATGTAATGCTACAGAGGCTGGCAAGCACACTCTTTTTTGGTGCATGCTTGGAAGTGGTCTCTACTGGATCCTTGCCCAGTCTGGCTGCCTTGGGTCGTACCCTTGGTTCTCCATGGCCTCCTGGTGGTTGGCTATGTCATCCCTCAGGGTGGAATCCAAGGTCCACCATTCATGGAGTTCCTGCAGCTTCCACCATTTGCGCTGGTGGTAGTTTTGGAGCCATTCCTGGGCCTTAGTGGCCCACTTGCCTGGGACACCACTCCCGGAAGCCATGTGGTTGTTCAGCTGGTCCCACAAGATTGGAACCTTGGCTTCCACGGCATCCCAATCATGGTTCTCATACCTGGCCAGCATCCACACCATCTTGGCCCTCCAACCTGTTTGGTAATTGCTGTTTGCTGGCCTGGCTTGGTTGGTGGCTGCACCTGGCCTGGAAGTTCTTGGTGGTATGGCTGGCTCTGGTGGCTTGCTGGAACCATCTGGTCTGGATGCTGATGCTGCTGCACCAGATGTGGCTGGCATGGCACCACCTGGTATTGCGTTTGCTGGACTGGCACCACTGCCTTTGGCTCCTACTTTTGTTGCGCATGCCTTGGCAGTGGTGCTGCTGGATTGGGCTTCTGCAGTTGCCTTGGGAATGGAGATGCTAGATGCTGCTGCTGCACCTGCTGTGGGGATTTTGCTGCTGGATACATCTGCATCTTGGTCTGATGGTACCTCAAGGTCTGACAGTATATATGATATACCTGGAGGGATATTACTTCAATACCTTTTGTACTGCTTGGCTAAATACCATGTCACGGGCAGGATCCAGAAGTCACCGGCTTGAAATCCCCTGTTTATTGGTTGAATTTTCTCTTTTCGTCTTTGAGCGATCCAGTTGCTATGCCTGCAAATGCCTGTGATCACATCTGCGCCGGCAGCTGTGGCCCCGGGCCCTGGGCGCTGGGTGGCGCGGGTCCGTGAACCTGGGCAGGCCTGCAGCAAAGGTGAGGCAGACATGGCCGACATGGCCCCTCAATTTGGCTGAGCAACAAATGGAATACAAACAAAAACAGCATGATAAAACTAGAAGCAAAATGAGGCAAAATAACGTAGATGAAAAGCAACCATCTCCGCACCAGCCACGAAGGAAGCAGCCCACGTCTTGTGAGAGCAGTCTGGTCAATGAAATTCAGAGGTGTGAAGGGGAAGATCCCGAGTGAATACACTGACTACATCCCTGTCCAGGGAACATTTGCCGCCCCTGGCAAAATACATCTAACCACCACAATCTCAGCCAGGGCAGCGCACCAACACCATCTGGTGCTCCCTGGCGCTGCCGCAAAGGTGGCAAATGAAGCAGCTCCTCAAGAACTGAGGTGGGCCTGTCTGAAAGGGGGTTGTAGCTTGCAGCATGCAGATATTGCGCATATATGCACACTTGCACGCAGACACTGTGTATATCTACATGTTTACACGTTTGTGTATTTGTCTAATTCTCAAACTTGTAGATGCGACCGTTCCGTTGCAGC